CAGATGAGTCTGTGTGGCTTGTGTGGGAACTTCAACGGGAAGGCGAGCGACGACTTCCGGCTGCGGAGCGGAGACCTGACCTCTGACGCCGTGGCCTTCGCCAACTCGTGGAGGACGGACCCCGGCTGCCCCCTGGTGCAGGAGCAGCCCAGCCCCTGCGACACCAACCCCCAGCGCAGGGCCTGGGCTCACAGGAAGTGTGACATCATCAGGAGCCCGGTGTTCGAGCCCTGCCATGCCCAGGTCAGCAGAAACCCGCCTCCCCGCCCGGCTGCAAGGCATTTAAAACTGAGAACAGGGAGCGCTACCTTACACAAAGGGTTGTGGGTGCCTGTGAGATGCTGCATAGCCATGTTGTTGAAGCTGGATACCCTGGCTTCTTTCCAAAGAAACAGCTAGATGAGATCTTGGGATCAATTATCCAGCACAGGACTGAAGTGTCTCCTCTCTCTTTGTACCCTCTCTGGTGTCTTGATTTTCTGAACCCTTCATGCGTAAATTTACTGCAAAATGCGATGCTGTCTACCGTGTGTGTCCCCTCCAGCATCGTGCGCAGGACATGGAGTCCAGTTTGCAACCTGCAGTAAAAAAGTGAAAGAGGCTGATAGAGCCCTGACCTGTGATCCTGTGACCCTTGCCCCTGTAACCCTTTGCCCCTGTTCCTTTGTGCCCCTTGCCCCTGTGCCCTTGCGTCACTTGCCCCTGTGACCTTGTGACTCTTGCCCCTGCGACCCTGTGACCTTTGCCCCTGTAACCCTTTGCCCCTGTGCCTTTGTGCCCCTTGCCCCTGTGCCCTTGCGACTCTTGCCCCTGCGACCCTGTGACCTTTGCCTCTGTGCCCTTTTGACTCTTGCCCTTGTGCCCCTGTGCCCTTGTGCCCCTTGCCCCTCTGCCCCTGTGACCTTGTGCCCCTGTGTCCCTGTGACCCCGTAACCCTGTGACCCTGTGACCCCAGGTCTACTACCTGCCTTTCTACGACGCCTGTGTGCGAGACGCGTGTGGCTGTGCCCTCGGCGGCGACTGCAAGTGCGTCTGCAATGCCGTGGCCATGTACGCCAAGGAGTGCCTGGACCAGGGCGTGTGCGTGGACTGGAGGAGGCCGGACTTCTGCCGTGAGTCCCTCCGCGCTCACGCTGGGCCGACCCAGAGGGGCGTGCGGTCCTGGTCCCGGACAGCGGGCGTCTCCGGGGCGATCTCAGAATGATCGCCATGGCCCAGTTCGACCAGTACGACGGTCTGGGCTAGCCGGCGGCCACACCGGCCCTCCTGGACCAGGGCTGCCCACCCCCCGCCCTACTCCGACAGGCAAAGACTGCGCCAGACTAGAACACCACCCCGCGACAACAGTCTTTCTGATCCCTTCCAGCTGTCTACTGCGAGTTCTACAACAGCCACCAGCTGGCTGGGGCCTCGTACCACTACACTGGAAACGGCAGCTGCTCCTGGCACTACCAGCCCTGCCTCTGCCCCTTCCAGACCCAGGGCTTGTCCAGCACCCAGAATCTGGAGGGTAAGACCGCATTCACCCTTCTCCTGCTCTCCGCGCCGACGCCAGTCTCCAGCTGGGTGGTCCCTGCGCAGGAGTGTGTGCACACTGTCTCAGCGCTCCTGCCAGTATATTCATGTGCTGTACTTCATCATTGGTGCTCAAATTAATTACTCAGCTTTACGTTGAATCGTAATGATTGCTGCACTTGTCAGTTTTATGGGAGGAGTCTGCAATTCGCTGTTGATGAGTTTGATGCAGACCATGGGAACCTCACCTCTCCTTTCCCAAGGACTTGTGTGTTTACTACCTGCAATTTCAGGTATGAAACCCCCATGGTTGGAAAGAAAGGCTGTAATTGAATTTTGTCCTGTATTTCCAGTGCACTACAACAGATGTTTAGTCTGTCAGGGGTTAGATGGTTTCTGCTGCTGTGTTTCCGGCGAGACTGGTCTGCATTTTAACTTAGTTCTGTCATTCTGGCTCAGGCTGCTACAGTTGCCCCACGGACCAGTACTTCAGTGTGGACCTGCAGCAGTGCGCCGCCTGTGGTGAGT